GGTCCTTTCCAACCCAAACCATTCCATGATTCCCCCGGTTGCAGTTGCAGGTCAAACCACCAGTTTGTGCTTTGAGTCCCTCTGGCTCTCAGGGGGCTCTGGGGGGCTCAGCCATGGGGAGTCCCTGCTGCCAAGGGATGTCCCAGGTAGAGTTTGGGCCTGGGGCCAGGGCAGGACAGGTTGGTCCCTGGGTGTGGCCGTGGTGCTGTCCTGGCCCTGCTCCCTCCCCGTTTCCAGGAGCTCTCCCCGGTGCTCTCTCCAGTGATGAGGCTCCTCTCGGGCACAAGTTCCTGGTGCTGGTGCCAGCCCACAGCCTCAGGCAGTGCCTTCCCTGCCCAATGCCTCCTTTCCCACGGTGTTCCCTGCTGCCATCCCCATTTACAGTCAACTGGGAGAATCAGCTCCCACCCCCTGGTTGCGTTTGGTGCCGTCGGTGCCCTGGCAGTGTCCAGCAGCTGCAGGCTGGGAGCATTTTTCCTGCCCTACTTGTTTGAGGAGGGTGGAACTGGTCAAGCCAGGCACCCCTTTAATTTTTGTCCCAGGCTTTGTCCCTGGGAAGGGCTCACAGGAGCAGCTGGATAAACTCTTCCTCTCTCTTGTGCTGCCATGGCATCAGTTGGGTCCCGCTGGTGCCACCGGCACAAGGGAGTGGAGTGAGGAAGAACCTCCCTGTGCTGTGTCCCCTGTGGGATGTGGCTCCTGTGCAGCTCCTGGAGCTGCTGATGCCTTTGGATCATGAGATTGCCATTTCAGGAGAGAGAGGGGAAGATTTAGGTTGGATCTCAGGGAAAGGTTCTTCCCCCACAGGGTGCTGGGGCACTGCCCAGGCTCCCCAGGGCAGTGGGCACGGCCCCAAGGCTGCCAGAGCTCCAGGAGGGTTTGGACAACACTCTGAGGGACAGGGTGGCATTGTTGGGGTGTCCTGGGCAGGACCAGGAGTTGGACTTGGTGATCCTTGTGGATCTCTTCCAACTCAGGACATTCAAAGTTTCTGTGATGCTGCAAAGGGCGAATTTGGGACCTTGGGAGGCACCAGCAGAGCCCCTTCCCACTGCCCTGGGCTTGTCCTGGTTTGCCAAGCACTGGAGCAGGGCAAGAGCTTATAGCAGGTACCAGGGTAAATCTGGGAGGGGAACGTGGGAGTTGCAGGCACCTCTCCCTGGGCAGCCTGATGGGGGCTGGCACATGCTTCCAAAAATGTCACTTTAGATGGTTCTGCCCTGCCCCAGTCCCTGGGCTGTTGCTTTCCCTGCCATGTGCCCCAGCCATAAACCCACCAGGGGTTAGTCCTGCCAAAGAGCTGGGCTGGGACACCCAGGGCAGCTGCTGCTGCTCACTTACTGTGACAGTTTTTTACTTCTTGTCATCCGTGATGTTTAATACCCTGGGAAATGCAGCAGGAATAGCACAGCTCCTGTTTGCCCTCTGGCTGCTGGGGAGCCTGGATTGATTTACCTTTACCTGGCTGGGACAGGCCTGACTGAAGGTCTTGTGCCATCTCAGCCATGGCTGAGTCACAGAATCCCAGGATGGTTTGGGTTGGAGGGGACATTAAAGCCCACCCAGTGCCACCCCCTGCCATGGGCAGGGACACCTTCCACCAGCCCAGGTTGCTCCAAGCCC